TTCCATGACATAAATAGGCTGAAGGAATTCATGTCCACAAAACCAGCCCTTCAGAGAGTTCTGGAAGCAATACAAAGTGCTGAAGAAAGGAATGACTATACCCAAGGGATTGCAGAAAGAAATCCAATGAAGGTATAACTGTGGAAAAGTACAGCTACTATATCAATGTAAACAGAAATAAAAATGACAGGACTCAATACCCATCTTTCATTAATAACTTTAAATGTTAACAGACTGAACTCCCCAGTCAAAAGACACAGACTATGTGAATGTTAAGAAACAAAACCCATCTTTTTGTTGTCTGCAAGAAACTCATCTCACTTTCAAGGACAGACACTATCTCAAAGTGAAAGGATGGAAAAAAATATACCAAGCAAATGGCACTAAGAAAAAAGCAGGCGTAGCAATTCTAATATCTGACAAAATAGACTTTAAACTAAAACTAATCAGAAGAGACAAAGAGGGCCACTTCATTTTGATCAAAGGAACAATGAATCAAGAAACAATTACAATCATGAACATATATTCACCAAACTCTGTTGCACCCAACTTCATAAAAACAAAGACAGAGTAAAAGGGCCCCCGGGGGTGGCTATGGGAGGGTGCCATCTGGGAAGTGGGTGTATAGATGAATAAGATTGTTTGGGATGTTCTGTGTGATATACACACACAAAAAGAAATCAACAAATTTTAAAAATGAGTTCTATTTGAGGAGGAAGCATAAAAATTTATGTCAAGTTAATTAGTAGAGGTAATAAACATTACCATTGAAATCTACCCGATGACTTTATAAACATACACAGGTGCCAAGGATCCAAGTGCAAATGATTATGACTAGTAATAATTAGATACATACAGATTAGAGATGCATGAGCCAACGTCTCAGCATTAGTAGCAAAAACAGTGAGTCTGTAAGAAACAGTATATTTTAGAATGAAATGGACATCTTTTTTGAGGGTTAAATACTCATTAAATTTTATGTTTTACAGGGCTTATACTGAGTTCAATATTGTAAAACTATTGATTCAACAGCGAACCTAGAAATTTTATAGGCACTTTTGTAGGAGCTTTGTCTTTGCTCTGGAAACTGTTATTGGGCATGTTAAGGCTGTAATGATATGCTTCTTCTAAAAAAAACTAAAGAATAATATTAAAAAATGTAGGAAACAGCATATCTTGAAATGGAGATCTTATTTACAGGGTAAAAACACATTCAATTTTATATCTTACAGGGTTGATACTGAGTTCAATATTGTATAACTGTATTCATTTTACTGTGAACTTAAAAATTTACAGCCACTTTTGAAAGAGATGCATCTTTGCTCTGGAAATTGTTATTGAATATGTTAATGCTGTAATGAAATTCTTCTTCTAATCATGTGGTTATTAAATAAATAATTTTAAAAAACAATACAGAAAAAACAAAAAATAAAGTTTCTGGGGCTGGAGAGATGGCTCAGTTTTTAAGATAATTGACTGCTCTTGTAGAGGACCAAGGTTCAATCCCAGTACCCACGTGGCAGCTAACTACCATCTATAACTCCAATTACTAGGGATTCCATGCCTTCTTCTGACCTCCATAGGCATTGCATGACACAGATGCACTTATACACCAGAAAAAACAAAAAATAAAGTTTCTGGGGCTGGAGAGATGGCTCAGTTTTTAAGATAATTGACTGCTCTTGTAGAGGACCAAGGTTCAATCCCAGTACCCACGTGGCAGCTAACTACCATCTATAACTCCAATTACTAGGGATTCCATGCCTTCTTCTGACCTCCATAGGCATTGCATGACACAGATGCACTTATACACATGCAGGCAATACACTTATACACATTTAAAAAAAAAAATTTTTACACATTCAAAAATTTTTAATTTAATTTAATTTAAAAAGAAAAAAAAGTTTCCGAGGCAGGGGATGTAGCTTAGTAGTAGAGAGCTGCCTAACATATACAAGACCCTGAGTTTGATTCTAATCACTGCAAATAAAATTTAAAACTAAAGTTTCTTTTAGGGATCATTATTACTTTGTTTAATAGCCTATATTGCCACAATGGGGCGGGGGTTGTATTTGTATTGTTTAGGATCACCACTAGATTAATACTATTTTTCAATTGGAGATATTTTCAGGTTGCCCGCTGTTATCGAGATGAAGGCTCAAGACCAGATAGACAGCCAGAGTTTACTCAGGTACATAGTTATATTTATGTGGCTCTTATAAATTTAAGCTTGTTACATGTAAATGTTTTCAATACCAAGGCAGTAACTTTTTTATGAGTTTTAAAAATTAACACAGTAATGGGTTTCATTGTTTCATTTTCATACACACTTTTGTATTGTTGATCCTCCTGCCATTTCCCCTCCTCCATCCCTGTGCCCTCCTCCTACTGGTCTCCTGCCTCCTACTTCCCTCTTCCTGCTTTAAGTCATATGTATGCTATTACCTTGCTTTTCTCCTCCTCCTTTAAGATCTTTTCTCCTCATAGTTACATTTATAGTTTCATGACCATACACATATATGTACATATTATAAAAATTAAGCCAGGCATGGTGGCACAAGCCTTTAATCCCAGCACTTGAGAGGCAGAGGCAGGTGGATCTCTGTGAGTTCAAGGCCAGCCTGGTCTACATAGTGAGTTCCAGGACAGCTGTGGCTATGGGAGACCCTGTCTTAAGAAGACCAAAAAAATTAAAAAATTAAAAAATAAATTAAAATCTAGGCCCCGGGCTTGGTGGTGCACACCTTTCATCCCAGCATTCAGGAGGCAGAGGCAGGTGGATCTCTGTGGGTTGTTCTCAATAGCGAATCCAGGCCAGCTGCAGCAGCAGCTACAGCTACAGGGAGACCTCATCTCAAAAAAGACCCCCCAAAAAAAATTCAAATCTAGGGTCTAGAGAGATGGCTCAGTAGTTAAGAGCACTGGCTGCTCCTGCAGAGGACCTGGGTTCAGTTCCCAGCACCCACAACCATCCATAACTTCATTTCTAAGGGATCCAATGCCCTCTTCTGACCTCTGTAGGCATTGCAGGTCATGGGTGCACTTACATACATGCAGGCAATACACTCATACAAGTAAAATAATAAAAAAAATTTAATTAAAATCTCGATCTACATATGAAAGAAAACAGTGGTGCTTGTCTTCTGTATCTGGGATATTTAACATAATTTCCAGTCCTGTTTTCCTACAAATGTCATGATTTCATTTTTCTGCATGGCTCAGTGAAATTTCATTCATCCAGGGGCCTCTAGACTGGTTCCATTTCTTAGCTATTGTGAATAGTACAGTAATAAACAGAGATGTGCAGTATCTCAATGCTAAAACTTAGAGGCTTTTGAATATATACTCATGAGTGATATAACTGCATCCTTATGGTAGTCCTACTTTTAGTTTTTTGAAAACCTCCATAGTGATTTCCATAGTGGCTATACCAGTTTATAGTCTCACCAGAGATGAGTAAGGATTCCTCATTCCTCCACCCTTGCCAACCTTTTTTCCTTTATTTTTTTTAATTTTTTTAATTTTTATTCATTTTGATTTTATGTGTATGAATGTTTTGCCCACCTGTCAGATCCCCTGGAACTGGAGTTAAGGGACAGTTGTTAGGTGCCATGTGGATGCCGGGAAGTGAACCCGGGTCCTCTGGAAGAGCAGCCAGTGCTCTTAACCACTGAGCCATCCCTCTAGCCCCTCCTTTTTTTTTTTTAATTAAAAAATGTTTTGGGCCTGGAGAGATGCCTTAGCAGTTAAGAGCACTGACTGCTTTTGCAAAGGACCCGGGTTCAATTTTCAGCACCCACATGGCAGCTACGAACTGTTCTTAACTCCAGTTCCAGGGGAATCTGAAGCTCTCTTCTGACCTCCATGGCATTGCATGACATAGGTGCACTCACATACATGCAGGCAATATACTCATACACATAAAATAAAAATAATAAATAAAATATTTTTTAAAAATGTTTTGTGTATGAGTGTTTTGCCTGCATGTATGTAAGTCACACCACATGGGTGCAGTGCCCACAGAGGGCAGAAGGGGGCATAAGATCCCCCAGAGATGGAGTTACAGATGAGCAGCCATGTGGTTACCAAACCCAGGTCTTCTGCAAGAGCAGCTAGTGTTCTTAACCACTGAGCAATTTCTTCAGCCCCTTTGTTTCATTTTTTTTTTGAGATGGTCTCACTATGTAGCCCTGGCTGGCCTGGAACTCACTATGTAGACTAGGCTGGCCTTGAACTCACAGAGATACCCCTGCCTCTGCCTCCCAAGTGCTGGGATTAAAGGCATGCACCACCACACCTGGCTAATGTTAGTAATTTTAATTTGCATTTCTTGATGTTTAAGCATAAAAAAGGGGAAGTGGGTAAAAAAATCCCAGTACAACCTAAGGAACTTTTGGCAATTGATGGCTGCTGGGAGGGTAAGAGACAGTATCCTACAGGGATGGGACTTTTGATGGGCCCAATGGATGGACCCACACTGAAGGACATTTAGGAATACAAATCAGACTCTATAGGTCATATTATATATATATATGTATGTATGTATGTGTGTGTGTATATATATATATGAGAGTACATTAAATTGAGCAGGGGGCAGTAGGTTGAGGTGTGGATAGGGGAGGAAATCTAAATACCATCAAAATATATTGTGTAAAAATTGCAAAAATTAAATTTTAAAAATTAAATTATAAAAAAATATGGAATCTTTTAATTTTTTAGCCATTTGTGAGAGGCAGTATTTTATATATTTCTCATCATATTATACTCATCAGCTATTAATTCATCCAATTTTTTACCTATTTCATATGTCCCTTTCATAAGGAGTGTAGTCGTGAGTTGAGTACCAGGAATTCAAGTATTTTAATGTTCATGATACGATAAAGTCCTTAAACAGATGTCTCATCCTCCAATACTCCAGAGGCTGGTGAGATAGCTCTTTGAGTAAATGTACTTAACCACACAAGCCTGATGTCCTGAATTTGATCCCTGGAACCCATATAAAAGTGGAAAGAGAAGACCAACTCCATAAAACTGCCCTCTGACTGCCACATGTGTGCCATGACTTGCATGTGTTCATACCCCTATCATATACACAAACAATAATAAAAAAATTATGTTAAAAAATCAATACTGGGGGCTGGAGAGATGGCTCAGCAGTTAAGAACACTGGCTGTTCTTGCAGAAGACCTGGGTTTGAAACCCAGCACCCACATGGCAGCTAACAACTGTCTGTAACTCCAGTTCCAGGGGATCCGACAGCCTCTTCTGTTCTCCGAAGGCATTGCGTGACACAGGTGCAGTTACCTACATGTAGGCAATACACTCATACACATAAAATATTTTTAAAAATCAATACTTTTACACCAAAAAAGCCAATGTTGGGGCTGGAGAGATGGCTCAGTGGTTAAGAACACTGGTTGTTCTTGCAAAAGACCCAGGTTCGAATCCCAGCACCCACATGGCAGCTAGCAACTGTCCATAATTCCAGTTCCAGGGGATCTGACAGCTTCGTCTGTCCTCTGCCGGCATTGCACGACATGGGTGCACCTACCTACATGCAGGCAATACACGCATACACATAAAATTAAAAAAATAAATAAAAAAGCCAATGTTAACTTTAAAGAAAAAGAATCCATAATTCTGTATATTGCTACTTAATGTATTTAACCTATGGAATTATTAAAACCTTTATGATTTGACTTCATTACAATAGAATTAATCCAGTATGGTTCAATGCAAAAAATCACAAGTTTTGAAGTTGTACAGACCAATGTCAAATGTAGCTCAACTTACTACTTACTGATTGCAGTTATATGCAAACAATTTACTAGTCTCTCTGAACTTAAACCATGAAATACCTGTGGGAAGTAAACAAGTTGGTATATACTAGACAACAGCATAGTCGTTGACATAGAAATGATGTATAATAATATTTATACCTTTATCATGTATTGTTTCTGGGCAGAGTCCTGTGGTAACTTCAAGTAGAGAATTATGTATTGTAATTATTCAAGTTAGTGTACATGTGTTATTTTGGTTTCAGATTGACATAGAGATGTCTTTTGTAGACCAGACTGGCATCCAGCGTTTAATTGAAGGTTTGCTCCAGTATTCCTGGCCTGCTGATAAACATCCTGTGGCGATTCCCTTTCCTTCCATGACTTTCGCTGAGGCGTTGGCCACCTATGGAACTGACAAACCTGATATTCGCTTTAGGATGAAGGTACTCTCTTCACTTTTCCAGGACCTGCGCCCCAAATAGTTCGGTGGTCTTGAGGCATTTTGAAGAGACTTACAAATATTACACACTGCTGGATCATATGTTTGTTGTTACTTTAGCTTGTTACCTTTGTTTTTACCAAACTATAGCAAAAAATAATACTAGCATGTTATTTAGCATTACATTGCTTATTTTTTCTATCCTTTGTGTTACAAGTTCCATTTGCAAGCAAAAAATATTCTCATTTTCTCTCACTTTCTCTCTTTTTCTCTCTTTGGGAGGGGGGTGTTGTTGAGATAGCATCTTGCTGTACAAGCTTAGGCTGGTCTGAAGCTTGCTGTGTAACTAGCCCCAGCCACTTGCCTCATACTCAAGATCCTCATGCCTCAGGCTCCCTGCAGGTGATGGGATTACAGGTGTATATAGTCATACCCAGAAAGAGCAAGATTCTCAGGCCAGTGAGATGGCTCAGCAGGTAAGGCACTTGCTGCCAAGCCTGAAAACTTGAGTTCAATCCCTGGGACTTACATTGTGGATGGAGAGTACCATCACCCGCAAATTGTCCTTTGCCCACCACACACACATACACACACACACACACACACACACACACACACACACACACACACACACACACACACAATAAATAAATGTAAAAAATTTTGTTTAAAAAGAGCAAGATTCTTGCTGGGTGTGGTGGCACATGCCTTTAATCCCAGCACTTGGGAGGCAG